TTCTTTTCAAACTGCACCCGGCGAAAGGTTAACCTCGCTCATAAGTGTTTTCTGAATAAGGAACAGCCCCCTTTTTTTCTTAAGAAAAAGCGAAGGTTAGTTTCTGTTTGGCCAGTGTTTACCTGTACAATATCCGAGCCATTTTCCTTCATCGCAAACGCCTTATAAACTGTACCAGGAGTCTTTCTGCCGTAACTATTGATCAAAGGCTGCATTCTTCCCTGTAGCTTGAACCCAGAAGGTGGTACCTGGAGAATGTGATACTCGCCATAACCATTAAAGGTATATTCAACTCCATCCAAAGTAATCATGTGAGGATCGCCGACTCCAGTGGCTACAGAAAAAAACAGTTAAAAATAAAAGTGAGTATAATCATTGAATTTTAATCTAATACTTAACCACAACTAAATAAAATTTGCGCCGAAATTTTTGGCAACATTATCATCATATTATACAAAACATTAAAAACAGAAATGTACAAAAAAAAGACTTGGAAACTGCAAGTAAGTAAAAGGAAAAATGGCAGGTGGATCGAATGTGATGGAAATAGTTTAAATTCGCTTATCAATTCTATATTCCTTGACCTCTTAACAAGTAGCCAAGACGAAACTTGTCAAGAATCCTAACAATCAGGCCATTTCAATGGACAGTTAGCCACAATAAAGCACTTCACAGAGGTTTGCAGTTTTCAGTACAGCTCCTTTGGTTGAGGAATTACAAACATTAGTAATTTTCCAGCTAAATTTATCCTAATAGTTTTCGTAGCACTACATCTCGAAGTATAATTGATTAGCGGACTTAGTATTTATCCTAGTTTTCGAAGTCTCTTTTCAGAATATCTGTCAAGAATACGTGCCATTAACTCACTTCGCATGGATAAAATGAAACAGGAGACCCATTTGAAACAAAGGATAGTCATAAAGTTACTGATATCCAACCTGGCCGTGGAGGCTCGTAGTTCATGCCGTTATCTGATGGTCTCTTCTCAAAGTACTTTCCACAGTTTTCAGACAATACACAACAGTCTGAATAAGGCATCAGGTCGTGGAAGAAATGAGAGAGAAACGGCACTCCAACACTAATATGAACCCGACTCAGGGATCCCCCATTTTTTGGACCAATCATCAAGTTTCCTTGTTCATTATAGCAACACTGCTGTCCAGCACCTTCTTCACTGCAAATTGAATGAAGTTGGATGTTCAGTCTCAATCAATGGCATTTGCATACCCAAAGAGAAAAATGTAAGTTCTTCCAACAGGAGATGGAAACCGTATTTCGCCCTGGTACTTAACTAATTATAGGAGACGCTTAGCCAGTTCGCTAAGCTAGGTTATATGAACTAGCGCGAGCTTTTATTGAAAAACATTATAAGAGATATCTGCGAGAAAGAGCCGAACGCGACGACGAGAAAAAGGCGCAAAAAAGCTTTACGGCCTCGTGAGATGCAAAATGCAACAATTAAGAAAGGGAAATGGAGAAGGAACGGCGATCATATGAAAACATGCTTGTTGACCGAAGTGGGTTGGGAAAGACGAGAATATCTTTGTCTCTTTATCATATATTCCTTCCGACCCTTCCACCCGGGCAATAAGTAAGCAATAAGCATATGGGCTTGATGATGATAGACTAAACTTAATTATTTTTTTTTTTTACTGCAGAGTAAGCGACTCTGTAGACGTACACTCATTTCTGTACGTTGAGCATGTTTTCTTGTGAATCATATATGCATATTCACCTTGGATTGTTAGTGCTAAAGCAATGCGTTGCCTCCTTGCGGTATACAGCACAGTGTTGCTCAACATCTGGATTACAGTATTCGTCTAACATAAATCTACCGCGATCCGCCATCGCTTGAAGAAACGTTTGCGGGCAGGATAGGAGGGAGGTGTCATCTGTGAATATGCAAAGAAGTGGTCGCAATTAGGTCTGTCGAAAAACATTGTTATGTAAGACCTCTCCTCTAAGATGTGTACTGTTTTTTCATTAATTTTAAAGTTTTTGTTGATATCTTCGTAGTGTTGTAATCTCGGCTACTTGAGATTTGTGTTTGTAGTTACTGGTAGCCCTCAACTAAATGTTTTCTGCCTAGCTTCTTGGGATCCCGTTGAAATTAAAAATGGGCTATTTTGTGATTTACCTGTGTATATCTCAGGATCAGGCTGCTTGTCATACCAGTGCACACATCTCTGTTCAGCCATCTCATAGCTCAACCAGTGGAATGGATCGCTCCAGATCCACTCGGCCGGGGAATTGCTGAAATTGCCAGAAATCCTTTTTACCAGAACCAGTGTGACAAAGCGGTCACCCCCAGCTATTGTTCTAAAAGTTTGTAGGAAAAAGAGTTTTAAAAATGTTCTCATTGAGAAGGTTCGTGTACTTTCGACTAAACAGTGTACTTTTCTGCCGTTGTGATTTGAAGAGAAAAGTTTCTTTAGCTTCGATAACAAAGTATCTGATAACGCAACAAACAATTTATTTTACGTAATCCTTTCTCGATCAATTGGATACTTCCCAAAATGCATTAAAGAAAAAGTGCTAGCTTTTTCATCGTTGGCGATCTACTATAAGCTTCTAATTTAAGGAAGAGGTCCTCTATGATTCATCGTCATTTCGATGATTTTGAAGTTTCTGCAGACTGTTAGTTTCAGTTTATTGAGAATGAAAAGCAATGATAACTTCTCACCCTTGACCTGCCCCTTTTGGTACAAGGAACAGACTGGTTCCGTCATTTTCCTGACCTGCCACTAGATTGAATGTGCTATGAAAAACCACCTGTCCGTCATCTTTCATAGAAAAACGAGCCAACTGAACAGTTACTCTTTGATTCTCGCCCCCGAGGTAAGCTGGATCCCATGAAATCTGAGCTTCAGCTTGTTCAGACCACGTCTTCGCCATATGCCGTACGACAGCCGGCTTGAATTTGACAATGTTAACTGGCAAGGCAAGAATCAATAAAAACCGATATACACACGCTACTCAAAATTCTGAATCACCTGAAATCCTAACCAATGGAGGTGGGATTGTCATGCTCCGAGACTGACACGCCCTTAAGGTTTTATAGATCCTCTAAGGGATAAAATTGGCGATATGGTACTTCTAAAGTTTATCAAATGTATTCAT